CAGAGAGAACATGCCTCAGAATTGCTTAGGAAATAGGGCTGGGGTGCTGGAATATTTATCCACATTTACCCACCAACGTGGTTCTCCCTTAGCTCCACCCACCCCGCCTGCATACTTCCCAGTTGCTGGGCTGAGCAGCCTTGACTGTCATAGAGAAAGCCTGGAAACAGAAAAACAGACTGCCCAGATGTAAACTCCATGGGGGACTCCATCATAAAACTGGCCACACAGCAGTGTAGAAGTCAGGTGGGTAAACAGGCCATGCTACAGGGAATCCTAAGTGTCTGCTACAAGTAAGATGTTAGAATGGATCTCTTCCTGCCTAGGTTACGCTCCCCTAAGCTGACAGTGTGATGGGTATCAGGAAATCAAAGGCAACATGAGGGAGATCTTCCCTTGAGGAATGTGCAATGGGAGCCAAGGAGAACTGGTGTCACTGCCTTTGGAACCCCCTCATCTATAGATGGAGGGCTGAGAAAGGGAGGTCGGGAAAGAGGCTTCTTTGGAAAGAACTTTACTGTGAGTCCACACCTCTTCCCCAAGGTATGGTGATGTTGCCTCTGACCACAAGCCAAATAAAGGAGACTTCAAGGAGAAGGCTTAGGGAGCTTTGGAATGTGGCCCTGCAGGTGAGAGTCAGAGGGGACAGGCACCTATGACAGGTCTAGGAGAGTTAAAACCCGTAATGGGCTCCCACGAAGGGGCCAAGAGTGTGGTGCCATGTTGTAGATCCTGGCATCTGTCAGGGCAAGGAGTGTTTATGATGGGTAGCTAAGGGCCACCCTTGAGACACAGCCTGCTTGGTTGTCCTGGGTGCTGTACAATAGGGACATTTGGACAGGCATCTATAGTAGGAGGAGGAGATGAGATGTGTGGCCAGATGACGAGGGGCTGAGGAAGCAGTTGCAAAGGACCACCCAGAATAGAGGTGCATCCACCCCCAGTCAAGAGTAAGAGAGAAGGAACCAGCAAAATGTAACCAGCAAAACTGCTCTTGACAGAAAATAGTTCATCTTGGCCATCTGTGAGGCCCGCAGAGTGCAGAGCCACTCAGCTAGGTGAGAAGAGTTGTAACACTTCCCCACACTCCCCATCCTCCTAGAGTAGGGAGACCTGAGTAGGGGGAGGTGAGTTGAGGGGGAGCATTGGTAAGGGGAGCAGATGGGGAAAGGCAAGCTGAGCAAAGCAGAGAGGAGAGAGTGCTCCCTCCTGCACTTACGGCCTCTAGCCTGGATGACCTAAGCCAGGATAAGGCAGATTCTTTGATAATAAGGTCAGTTTGAAATTTTTTATATTACATAGGACAGGAAGTATTCATTTCGAAACTGAGACTAGTACTCATTTCTGGACTGAGACCGAGGCCAGAGTTCTGGGGCAGGGAAGACTACCCCACCGAATAAGATTAAAAGGGCAGTAAGAGAAAAAAATTGAAGTTTTATTTGAATCACAATCCATGAACAAGAATGAAAATTACACCTGGAATCCCAGCATTTTGGGAAGTTGAGGTGCAAGGATCCCTTGAGGCCAGGATCAACATAGCCGGGTCCTGTCTCCACGAAAAATGTTTTTAAAACTTAGCTGGGCATGGCGGGGCTCACCTGTAGTCCCAGCTAATTGGAGGCTGAGATGGAAAGAAGACTGGAGCCGGGGGGTTTGAGGCTGCAGTGAACCGTGATTGCACCACTGCACTCCAGCATGGGTGACAGCAAGACCCTGTCTCTTAAAAAAACAAATAAATAAATAAACGAAAATTAGACTTGACAATTATGCTCTCAGAAATGACTTTCTCTGCACTGGACTCTGAGAGCTCAGTGGGGTGGAATTATTTTCCTCTTCTCAATAGGCGTAATGGACTGTTTATGCCTACTTATGGAGACAGGTTTAATAAATCTGAACAGTTACCTCTGGCTGTCAGCATCTCACTATAGCAGCCTTGGTTCCCCCTTCAAGAGTAAACACATTTTTGGCTGCAAGAAGTGCAGTTAACCAATAGGCTCTAGCTTCAGCACCTTTGGGATCTACGCTCCCGTGCACAGCGTGGGTCCTGGCACCGGGACGTTCTTGCACAGCGAGAGTCCCAGTGCCTGGACATGCCTGCCCACCACGGGCCTCCTCTAATGGGCAGTCGGTGCCAGAGCTCCCTGCTAAGTCAGCTGAGACTCTGAGACCTGCATCAAAGTCTGAGGCTCTTCTGGCTCCACCTGCTTCCCTCTCTGTTTATCTTTTCCAGGCCTTTCCCCACATTAAACCTCTTGCCCTGAACTTCAGCTTCTGCTTCTCAGAGAACCTAGCTGATATACTCATCTTTTAAGCTCCAAGCATGATGCACATGACCCTCTTTTCTTTCCTTGCTTTTATTTTTTATTTCTATTTTTTTAATTTACAAAAATTTATACATATTTATGGTGTACAACATGTTGTTTTAAAATATGAATACAGGCCGGGCGCTATGGCTCATTCTAGTACTTTGGGAGGGTGAGGTGGGTGGATCACCTGAGGTCAGGAGTTCAAGACCAGCCTGACCAACATGGAGAAACCTTGTCTCTACAAAAAAATTAGCCAGGCATGGTGGCATATGCCTGTAATCTCAGCTACTTGGGAGGATGAGGCAGGAGAATTACTTAAACCCAGGAGGCAGAGGTTGCGGTGAGCTGAGATCGAGCCTAGACAACAAGAGTGAAACTCTGTCTCAAAAAAAAAAAAAAAAATGAATATGTTGTGAAATGGCTAAATTGAGCTACATAACGTAAGTGTTGTCTTACACATCTATCTATTTTTGTGGTGAGAATACTGAAGATCTACTGTCTTAGCAATTTTTAATACATTGCTATTAACTATAGTCACCGTATTGTATAATAAATCTCTTGAACTTATTCCTTCTATCTAACTGACTTTTGAAATGTTTTCATCAACATTTCTCCAATCCCCGTCCCTCCCACAGCTTCTGGTAACCACCATTCTCCTCTCTACTCGTAGTTCAACATTTTTAGATTCCACATGGAAGTGAACTTACCTGGGATTTGTCTTGTGTCTGGCTTCTTTCACTAAACATAGCGTCCTCCAGGTTCATCCGTGTTGTTATAAATGATAGCATTGCCTTCTTTTTGTTATTGATTTGTTTTGCTTTTGTTTGTTTTGTTTTGCTCCCCCTCAACCCACCACCCCCCTCTCAGGTTTTCACACTCCAGAAGGATGGGGAGGGTGGGTGTTAAAACTCTTCTTATCTAGCTGAGCGCCTTTGCATTCTGTGGGTCTGGCAGATGGCTAGGATGAACTGTTTTCTGTTAAGGGCAGTTTTGCTGGATAAGTTTCCACTGGTTCCCTCTCTCTTACCCCTGCCTGGGGGTGGATGCATCTCTATTCTAGGTGGTCTCTGCTGGAGTACAGTGGCATGATCATAGCTCACTACACCCTCGAACTCCCGGGCTCAAGAATCTCCCACCTCAGCCTCACAAACAGCAAGGACTATAGGGATGCATCACCATGCCCTGATAGTGTTTTTTAATTTTTTTAAAATGCTTTTTAATAATTTTTTTTTTGTAGGCGTTGGGTCTTTTGATCTTTCCATGTTTCCTAGGCTGGTCTAAAATTCTCGGCCTCAAGGGATCTTCCTGCCTTGGCCTCCCAATGCACTGGGATTATAGGCAGAAGCCCTCTTGCCCAGGCTCCTTCTTTGTTTAAGGGTGGATAGCATTTCATTGTGTATATATCTACAATTTCTTCACACATTCATCCATTGTTAGACACTTAGGTTGATTGCATATGTTGGCTAAAGTAAATAGTGCTGCAATGAGCGTGGAGTGGATACCTCAACATACTGATTTCATTTCTTTTGGATATATACTCAATAGTGGGACTGCTGGATCTGATTTTATTTGTTAAATGGATTTATTACATAAAAAATTTTTATACCCAGACTGAAATCTGATTTACCTTTAAGAAAAAATTCTAATCCCTCAGGTTTTATACTCATAAATTGAATTTTAAGAACTTTAACACTCACTTCATTATCTTCTTCACTAAGCAGATTCTATCAATGTTTGAAGGATTGAGGTCTCATCTTAAATATCTCTCCTCGATAGCTTTTCCCCAACCCTCCTGACTCCAACTTTGCCAGATCTCCTTTCTGTAGGCTGCTTCAACTATTCCTTTGGTAAGATTCATCAAACTTGTAGTTACTTGTCCAATGTCAGTTGTTAGCATGTGAGCTCCATGAAGTCATGATCTAAAATTCTTGGTCACTGTTAATTCCCCAGCACTTAAGACAGTGTTTGGGCCATAGGAGCCACTCAATAAATGAACATTTAATGGATTTCTGAATTTGCTAACCTAAAATTGCAAAATGTTGGCACAAGACCAAAACTGAATACATCTTCCTCTATTGTTCCCTTGGTCTTGGGGCACCATTCTTACTTCCTCATCACAGCACAGACTCCTAGAATTGATTATTAGAAGGAACTTAAAGATTATCCAGTCTGAGAATCCATCTGATGCCAGAGATGTTGCAGATCATCCAAGGAAGTAATTGTCCATCTTAGTTTGAATACTAGGGACAGAAACTACTCTCTAGGGCAACTCATTGCATCCAGAACAGCTTTGACTGTCAGGAAGCTGTTTAATAACCCTGATCCTCTGCAGTCTCTTCCTGAATCTGATTTCATATGGGTTTGATCAACATTGTATTCTCACAAAATGATTTAAAGGCTTTTCATAATATGAACAACATAGTTCAACTCTCTGGTTCAAACTGCTTTTTTTTTTCTTTTCTTTTCTTTCTTTTTTCTTTTTTTTTACATGGAGTCTCACTCTCTCCTAGGCTGGAGTGCAGCGGCACAATCTCGGCTCACTGCAGCCTCCACCTACTGGGTTCAAGTGATTCTCTTGCCTCAGCCTCCTGAGTAGCTGGGATTATAGGCGCACACCACTGTACGCAGTTAATATGTGTATTAGTAGAGATGGGGTTTCACCACGTTGGCCAGGCTGGTCTCAAACTCCTGACCTCAGGTGATCTGCCTGCCTCAGCCTCCCAAAGTGCTGGGATTACAGGTATAAGCCACTGCACCTGACCAAACTGCTTTCTTAAAGAGGATCAAATCAAAATTTTTCCCCTGTGAATAGCCTCTCAGGTGGGAACATAACTAGCTTTAAATAAAAAGGCTTCATCATTCATCCATTGTAAAACTATCAGTTGAGTGCAGACACGTGTAATACGGGGGCTGGCAGAGCAACAGTGGGACATACAGAGGAAATGAAACGTGGAGTCTGTCTGGGGAGATTCAGAGATACAGATGTTTATAAGACCACATCATCATAGGAACTACCCAGAGAGAGCTAGGGCAGACTATCCTGGGAGTCAAATAAAAGGATAAGGAATATTGTAAGAGATTGGGGCACGCAGTATGTGTGGGGACCTGGGGATTCAGCGGATAGGAAGTCTTGAAAGACTTCATTTAAGAAGTGGGATTTAGGCTGAGTTTGGTGGATTGCATCATGAGTCGGTGAGTAAACTGTCTTGACAATCAGGACCTGAGAGAGAACTAAGAGAGCCACAGTAGACAGGGTGGGGCTTAGTGAGGACAGGGGAAGTCAGAGGACTGTAGTCAGGGGAAAATCATTTCCCTTTCCTCAGGACTGTCAGTCAGGCTCTGTCTCTAGGAGCCTCCTAACCCAGTCTTCTGTGCAGTCCTGGGGACCGACCGACTGAGTCACACCTCTGGAACTGGGGGCTGCTGACATGTATGCCTTTCCTTGGCTGCTTCTTCTCCTGCTGCTCCAGGAGGGTGAGTGAGGCTGCCAGCTCCTGCACAGGAATGTCCCCTTCCACCTCTGTTCTCCTGCCTCTCTGGGCCAGGGCCAGCAAGACCCTTCCTTAGGGTTTGAATGTGTCAGCTCTTCTGGAGTTACAAGGAATAGGATGTGTGGCTTCAGGCCAGGACCTAGAGACACCTGGGGATATGAAAGGAAGCGCAATCCCAAGACGGCAAAGGAGAAGGTAAAACTTGGAAGGTGAAGGGACAGACAGAAGCAAACTCCTGGTAGGTGCTCAACTCAGGCATGGGGAACTCTAAAGCCAGAAGCAGCAGCTGGAGAACAGGATTTAGTGTGAGAGCCATAGAAGCTGCCCAGCTGAGATTATGCTACAGCTCCGCTGCCAGGTTCAGCAGCCCAGAGACACCAGCTGGACTGTTTGCTTCTCTTTTCTTCCTGTATCTGCAGCCAAAGGAGACTCTGGAGATGATGTGGATCCCGAGGAAGTGGTTGCGGTCCTTCAGGAGTCCATCAGCCTCCCCCTGGAAATACCGCCTGATGAAGAGGTTGAGAACATCATCTGGTCCTCCCACAAAACCCTTGCAACTGTGGTGCCAGGGAAAGAGGGACATCCAGCTACCATCATGGTGACCAACCCACAGTACTGGGGCCGAGTGAGCCTCCTGGACCCCAGCTATTCCCTGCATATCAGCAATCTGAGCTGGGAGGACTCGGGGCTTTACCAGGCTCAAGTCAACCTGAGATCATCCCAGATCTCTATCATGCAGCAGTACGATCTCCTTGTCTACCGTGAGTTTAGGCTGGGAACCATAAAGCTGCTTTTTTGGAGCTCTTTTGAGCTTCTCACACCATGAAGTAGGGGTCTCAGGACTTGGGATTATAGTTTGAGGGGCTGGAATTGGAGGCAGACTGTCTCCAATCTAGATGCTGGGATTGAGTGTGCCCAGTCCACCTGTTGTATCTGAGCTGCAGCAACTGGTGAAGTGAGCTGGGGCAAGGAGGCTGTTCCCATGGAGGTGTTCGATGCAGTGTCAGGGATCAGGGGCTTCATGTATGGACCCTGTAGAGGGCTTTTCTCTTCCAATGAAATTGCGTCCTGGGGATAAACACCACCTGCATTCCTGAGCCTTGTATTTTCCTGTGTGATGAGGGCTACTAATGAGTATCTTCTCTTTACTTGAACCCAAATTTCTTCTTAGTGCCTGTCACATTGCATCTACCTTGAAGCTTGCAGAGACACTGATTAAAATGTAAATGCCCCTGAGAGGGGTGATAATATTTGATGGGATCAAGGAGACAGAATGGGGATGGGAGGAAGATAGAGTACAAAAGTAAGAGAGAGAAGATATTAAGGGGAAGCGGAAGATGCCAAAGGCAGCCCTGTCTACCTCGACAGTTGCCTTGGGGACCTTGGAGCCACAGCTTTTGTAGTGGATGGGTTTGTTTGTTTTTGCTTATTTGTTGTTTAGGCGAAGGGGCTGTCAAGGGGTAGCATCAGTACCCCGGGTTTGAGGAGTTTAGGAAAACAGACCCAACCCCTGATTGTTGAGAGGGCCTTTGTGTTTTTCTTCATCTAGGACGGCTGTCAAAGCCCCACATCACTGTGAACTTTGAGATCTCTGGGGAAGGTGCCTGCAATATGTCCCTGATGTGCTCTGTGGAGAAGGCAGGCATGGACGTGACTTACAGCTGGCTCTCCTGGGGGGATAGCACTTATACATCCCATGAAGGCCCTGTCCTCAGCACAGCCTGGAGGCCGGGTGACAGTGCCCTCTTCTACACTTGCAGAGCCAGCAACCCCATCAGCAACGTCAGTTCTCACCCCATCCCTGCTGGGCCCTTCTGTGCAGGTACCAGAACCCCTGAGACTCCCCCTGAGCTCATGCAAGACCGTGCCTGGAGCACCATAGCATCATCTCCCTCCCCCAGCTCTTCCCAAGAGAGCCCAAGGAATCCAGAAGCTAACCCCCTCCCATGGAGGCTTGACACCTGGATTGGAGAGGAAGTCCTCCCCGTTTCTAGTGCTCCCAACTTCCAAAGATCTTTTCCTTTTTCTTGCTTGGCTTCAGAATGCTTCCTAGATCTCAGTTTCTGAGCTTCTGTGCATAGAATATATTTCCAGAAACATTGCAAGGGACATCAACTGTTTGTAAACTTGAGACCTCTACATGAAATCTGGATAGGAGTCTGCCCCCTAATATTAACCCTAGCCCTATCTCTGATGGGCCCTTTTCCTCCCTTCTTCTATCCCAGATTCTGACTATGCTTCTGAGAAGCCCTCAACACACTTCTGCCTCTTAACCAAAGGATTGCTCGTCTTCTTGCTCTTGGTAATTCTGGCCATTGGGATCTGGGTCATCCAAGTCCGGAAAAGACACAGAATGCCAAGGATGAAGAAACTCAGGAGAAACAGAATGAAATTGAGAAGGAAGGAAAAGCCTGGCTCTAGCCCTTCCTGACTGCTCCTTGGGAACCCCAGTCCTGAGCTTGGTTTATTCCCAGCACCCAGAGAATCCTTCCTCAACATTTCCTTCCAGGGGAAGGAGGTGCTCAGGGGTGGATATCCAGAGAGCGACACTTCTGAGGGAAGACTGGCTGGCAATAAAGTCAAATTAAGCAACCACAACTCTGCAGGAGCTGTGTTGGGTCCTTCTGTCCTCGCTGGGTAGCTCTGGCAAAACCCACTCTGCTGTCTTTCCCCCAAATCCAATTGCCTTCCCCCAAGTCCACGTGCTTTTTCAGGCCCACCTCTGAGGAGGAAAGTGGGTCTAAAAGGCCCCCTCACAGGAAGGCGTTGGTATGCTGTCACTCACCACCTATCCCACTCTCCACCAACATGCTTGCTATTTATGCATTAAATAAGAAAAGTGAGAGATTTCTTTGAATCTAACTGAACCTGTAATTTGAGAATTTCAGGCATTTCAAATCTTGCATAAAAGTGGCCTTATTCCTGTTAAGATTCTTCTGCTCCCTTACCCCACTCTCATCCTGGCAGATACATTGGCTTAACAACTCCATCCATCCCAGCCTGGTGTAGAAGCTGTCCTAAACAGGGAGATAGGAAGGGCCTCGTTCAGACCTACTCTGGGTCCGAGTTGAGCCCCGCGACCTCTCCATCATCTCCCTGATGCCAGTTGCTCTGGGCCTCTGGCACCTACCCCATAAGAATGACAGCTCCACTGGACCATTAGCCAAGATTATGGAGCTTGACTTCTGCTTGTGATTAGTATTACTGTCCTGTCTGTCCCCTGCTTATAGATTTCCATGTCTTAGGCCTTCTGTTTGGAGTCTTGCCCTGGGTTACTGCCCACCCCCCACTCCCTGGCAAAGCCTTGTAAGTTTATGTGCTCGCTGCTTCCTTAGCCCAGTGATCAGCCTGAATTTTCCTCCCAGGCCTGAAGTGCCCCTGTCCAAGTCTCCATTATTCCCTCCAAATCAGATCTTGTGGACATTACTTATGCAGCTTCCATGGGCAGGGGGTTAGAGGGAGAGGGGACTGGAGAGAGAATTAGAAACCAGGACAGGTGTCCACAGTGGGTGAATTGCAGAAAGTGGTGAAGGCTGTGATATGTATGGCGGAAGAGCCTAGGTGACATTTGGAGCTCTGGGCTTTGATCTGCCACTCACCTCTGGCCTGTGACCCTGTGTTCAGCAAACTTCCATTGACCTACAGCCCCTTTCTGCAAGAAGCGCACACTGGAAGACAGAGGCAGGCAGCCAGACAGCTTGGAGCTCCCACAGAGACAGGGTGGGCTGGGCGCCCTAGGAAGCTTCAGAAGAGATATCTGAAGGGTGAGGAGAGGGCCACGTGGCAGGAGGCATGCCTGACATTGCTGTGGGTCCCTTCTTCCTCTTGTTTTTGAGGGAGAGGATGCTGATCTCCAAAGTATCTTCCAAAAAGGGAGCAAGAAGTCTGTGAAGGGGTCAGTGAAATGCATTCAACTGGGAAACCAATGAGACCAAGGACACCTGGCTTCTGGAAAGTAGGACACATGGGCTGGCACAGGACCACCCAGGAGGAGGGCCTTGAGAGCTGCATGGGGCAGGCCAGAAGCCAAGAGTAGAGGTCTCCCTAGTTATTTGTGCAGGGGATGCAGCCCCTTGGGGCTTGGGAAGGAGGTAGTAAGGTTGGGAAACCGGCCCCAAGAGCTCCTAGTGCTGGTAAACTGGTCCCCTCTGTTTTCTGAGGGCCTGAGCCCTTGTCCCTCTGGAAGGCAGTCCCTGGCCTGAGGCTGGTTCTCTGGGCCTCCCTTAGGCCCTGAGCAGTCTTGCTTCCCAAAAGGCCAACAGCCCCCAGTTCCTCCGATTCCTTTTATACCTGTCCCAGGAGGCAACACTGCAGGGCTGGGGACTGTCTGGAAGGGCCACCTTGAGTCCATCTGTACACAAAGGGGCAGCTCATTTCTCATTATTGCAAGGGTTGAGTTCACAGAAAATAAACGAAGTAATGAATGTATGACAGGCCCAGAGATTTTCCTGGAAGTTAGCAAAGTTTCTTCTTCTCACAGCCAATCCCTGAGCAGAAAAAGGCTGAGGTTTCAAAACAGACTGAGCATCTGGAAAAGGAAGGATGAGACCTTACAGAAAGTTGAGGGAGACAGAGGCAGGCGGATCACCTGAGGTCAGGAGTTCAAGACCAGCCTGGCCAACATGGCGAAGCCCTGTCTCTACTAAAAATAACAAAAAATTAGCCAGGTGCAGTGGCACGCATCTGTAATCCCAGGTACTCAGGAGGCTGAGGCAGGAGAATCTCTTGAACCCAGGAGGTGGAGGTTGCAGGGAGCTGAGATCTCGCCACTGCACTCCAGCCTGGGCAACAGAGCAAGACGTTGTCTCAAATAAAATAAAAAAAGAAAGAAAGAAAGTTGAATATTAACTCAGAGAGGCACAGGCCTCTGCCTCTGCAATAAGACAGGAACTTGGCAAGGACTGGGGAGACAGAAGAGACACCTACGCCTTCAAGGAATGTTTTGTGGAGTGTGTAAAGTTAAAATAACAAGGTGTGCCAGGGCTGGGGTGAAGATGAGGGTGTGGTGGGAGGAGTCAGGGAGGGTGTCCTGGAGGGAACAGATCATAGAAAGTTGACCTGTGATCAGCAGTGAGTCTGGGGAAAGGAGAAAAGGGCATTCTAGCCAGAGGGCAGCTAAGTGCTGAGACACTGACATGTGAAAGAGCACAGTAGTTCTAAGCCTGCAAGGCCATGCACGCTGCGGTAAAGGGGTAGCCGAGAAAACCAGGCTGGAAAGGTAAGCAGTGCCTTTCTGAAGGGGGAATTCAAGGGCAAACAGGACAATAGCCACACCCTTGTGGGGCTTAGTGTCTCACTGGGACAGAAGACAGGCACACAAAAAGTTAAATGACAGTAGATGAGAAACCACACTTCTTTACTGATCTGGTAAGAAGACTACTGCTTATAGGCATGTGGTCAGCAGAGTCCCTGGAATTGACAACCTTTTCTTTCCTTTTTTAGCTCAGATATAATTTAATATATGCCTGATTAACAACATCTACATTATTGATGATTAAATCTACACTATCTATTGTAGAATATGGGATAGTTATGTGGTGCTTAATTGGTACAAGCAGCATTGACACATCAAATATGGTTCGTGCTGAAAGTTCACGTGTTCCAACTTTCAGGGTTCATTTGATATCAAGTAATTCTCTGCTTATCTATGGACAATGAGAAACTGCTGATTGGGAACACATGTGCTTAATGGTGCCAAGCAGACACCTCTGAGGTCACACCACCCCCTTTGTGCAGGCAGGGCTGTGGAGCAGCTCGGGTCCTCTCTTCACAAGGCCTGCTGAAATATTAGGTATACATCAGGGAGACAGAACCAATAGGATAGATAGATACAGATACAGAAAAATGAAATGAGATTTATTAGGGAAATTGGCTTACATGATTACGGAGGCGAAGTCCTACAACATGCAAACTGAAGGCCCTGGGCTGCCAGAAGTGTGGCGTGGTGCAAGGCCAAAAGCCTCACAACTGGGGAGGCCAGTGGTATAACTCTCAGCCCCAAGTCTGGAGAGTTGGGAGTTTTGATGTTCAGGGAGGAGAAGAATAGTCCAGCTCTGAGAGAGAAAGAGAGAGAGAGAGGAAGAAGAAAGACGAAGAAGGAGGGGGGGGGGAAGAGGAGGAGGAAGAGAAGGAAGAGGAGGAGGAAAAGGAACCAGAGGAGGAGGAAGAGGAGAGGGAGAGGGACAGAGATAATATTTTCTGATATCCTTGTCAGCAATTTGAAAATACGGGGGCTGGCTGATAACTTAGATTAGGTGGAATCCTCGCTGGCTGAATAAGCTTTCCCAGAGAGTAATGACTACGAATCAAGGACAACCTAGAGGAAAATCTTTTGTTCTGAACCTCAGGGACTATTTTTTTAATCAGCTTTCACTCCGAGAACAGTGAGGGAACAAGTTATAGGGCTAGGTTCCTTTTCTTACCAAAAAGCTCCAATATGCCTGTGAATGAGACAAAAAGTGGCAATAACAATAAAACTCACAAAATAAACTTCCAGAAAAAAAGGAGGCCATATCATAAACTTTTAAAAATTGAAAGGATTTTTAAATGTCATTTAACAGAAACTTATTTTAATGTCCAAATGAGTTTATCCTCAAGAAGCCACTGGAGACAGCAGTTTAGATCAGAAGTGTGGCCAATTCTAACAGGGTGGGAGGGAGATCCTTCCCAATGACTGGTGAGGATCCAAAGATTTAAAAACACTTTGATCTTTGACCATCTTTTCTAGCCATGCTTCCATGCTGCATTCATTAACATGCTTCCATTATAATCTTACCAGTAGATTGGTGTATTACATTGAAAAGCCATGTTGAGAAGTTGCCACTTTGGGAGCATTTGCTGGAGGGATGGTGGAAGAGACTGGCCCACTGCTCCTGCCTCTTCTGTTCCATCTCAGCCACCCCAAAGCACTAAAACCTTTACACCTGGAAGAACTGTCCAGCAGGCAGAGCTTACTAAGGCTGGAATGGGTATCACAGTAGTGCTGAACTTCCTGGCTAGGACGTGATCAGATAGGTGCTTGGATGACTACCTGGAGAAACGATGTGCCAGGGATTCTGGGGCCAAACAGTGCCTAGGTCGATCCCGGAGGGTCTCTCATGATGTTGCAGCAGTGATTCTATGAGTCTGATGCCTGGTGCACTCAGTGTGAATCTTAGTACTTCAGATTGGAATGAGATCGGCATGCTGCTTTCAAGGAAAGCTTCCAAGGGAGCCAACGGAAAAGGAAGGACCTGGACAGCCAATGATTGCTTAAGCCGACCCTGTATCCCTACAGCATCACCAAGCCGAGCAGATAGAATCGAATCTCTAAGGGGTAAGATATGCAAGATATCTTTGTGTCTGAGGGTGAAGTCTCAAAGGCAGATGGGTTAGATGAAGTGTGGGTTGGGTCTGAATCCAGCTCTGCCGTTTCCTAGAGGGGAAAGCTTGGGGCCAAGTTACTTCATCTCCCTGAGCCTCAGTTTTCTCGTTAGTCAAAGGGAGCTCTACTTACTTCTCAGGGTTTCTGTGCAGGTTACACAGGAGTTATAAAGCATCTAGTCCCGGTCTGGCACCCTGCAGGGGTCCAGTGAGTGATCTTTTATTTCATTCGCCCCTTTCAATCTCCCGTGTCAGGGTATCTGTCTTTTCTCCCCTCTGGGCCTGTTTCTCTGGGTCGTTGATGCTAGATCCTCCTCGGGAGCTGACTTGGCAACCCCACGCTCAGAGCACGGCCTTCCCCTGCACACGGTGGGAGGCGCCAGGGCAAGATTTGGGAGCTCGCCAATGCAGACAGGTATTTCCAGTCCTGCCAGAGAAGCAATGGGTGGAGGTGGAAATGGGGATGGGGGAGGAGATCGGATGAGCCCGGGACCTGGGTGGATCCCTTGGGAGGAGGGCGGGGAGTCTTGCTCCCCGCCTGGTGCTCCTGGCCCCAGGCTCAGATTTCAACCCTAGCTGCCGCCTCCGTGGCGCGCCCGTTAGGGGAGCGCAGAGGGTCGCCCGCAGCTCGGAAGGGAGGACGGCGTACCAGGAACCTGCCAAGGGTCCAGCTCCCGCAGCCCCGGAACGCGGGCCGGACCCCGCGGCCCCTTTTGCTGGCGGCGGAAAGCGGCCGACCCGCCTTTCCGCGCTTGGCTGTGCAGAGCTCCACGAGGGGGCGACCTGAGCCCACGTGCCGCCGGGCCCTTCCCTCCTGAAACTACAACTCCCAGGCCGCTCAGGGGTCCCGCCCGCCTCGCCGCGCTTCTGGCGGCTCCAATTGGCCGCTGCGGGAGGAGGATTGGCGGTCTCCAGGGCGACGGGAGGCGCTCGGGGCATCCGAGGCTGGGAGGCGGGTCCGCCCCCTATTGTGTAGCGGCGAGAGTGGAGCCGAGCCGTGCGGAGCAGGTGAGGGAGGGGGCGTCCTGGGGGGATAGAAGTGGGGTGCTGGCGGGGGCATGAAGAGTAGTGCGGAGTTATGGGGGACAGGAGAAAGCGGGGAGTTCTAGGGAGAAGTGGAATTCTTTGGGCGAGCAGAACTGGGGGAGTTCTGGGGAGGGAAGTGAAATTCTTGGTGGGTGGGTGGGGGTTCCCGGAGAACTGGAGGAGTTCGGGAGGCAACGTGGGGGAGTTCTCGGTGGGTTCCAAGAGAAAGGAAGAGTTCCAGGGGACCCGAGAATGCGAGGGAGAAAGGAATTGTTGGGGTGGGGTATCAGAAGTGTATTGTGGGCTGAGACAGGAGAATCCCAGGGAGGGGAATTCTCGGGAGGAGAGGATGGGAAGTGGCTGGGGGTGGGGTGGGGAAGCCAGAAGGGAGTTCTTTGTAGCGCGGAGGACCTGCTGCAATGGGAGATCAGGTGCGAGAAGCTGGAATTGAGGGGGACTGTGGTAGCAGCAATCACTGGGAAGGGAGTCCTGGGAGGATGAGGGAGTTGTGTGTGGGGAGACTAGAAAGGTGAGGAAACAGTGGAGGCTGGGGAGTTGGAAAGATCTTAGGAGACTCGGAGGAATTCCGGGGATGCCTGGTTATTCAGGGTCTTGGAAAACAGCCAGGACAGAACTAGGGGTTCCTGTATACTTGGAAAAAGGTTTTTTAGGGAAGTATGGGAGAGCTGCCTGGAGGCAGTGGGAAGCAGGGGGCTTGGTTGCTAGTGAATTGCCAGAAGTTAGACGTACAGGGTCATTAAGTAGAGGCAGGGATCAGACTCTGTGGAGTGTTTTATAGTTTGTCCTGAACTTTGTGGCCAAGAGTGGAGTGGAAGCCTCAGAGCAGAGTCCACTTGGCTGTCCCAGGCCCTGGCATGGACCCTCTGGCTCTCTGAGACTGCCCTAGGATCTGTGGGGCTGTCAAGAGTTCCTACTCTCCATGCCTCAGGGCTAATTTTGTACACCTCAGGGACTCACAGGCTTTTTTTGGACCATGCCCCTGGGGTTGAG